GTCGTCCGTATACTAGTGTATATATATGAACGTGTTTCGCGTTATTTTTTGTTGGTACAAAGCGTTCGCATACGTAGAGACTAGCAATATCCTTCTTCTTCATTCGCTCGCCAGGCCGTGGCTGCGCAGGCGGCGGCGCGGGGGCTCGTCTTACTCTTCTGTAGTCGCCCGGGGGCGCTTGTGGCCGCGGGTGAGGCCCATGACGACACGCTGTGTACAGGTCTTCCAGGCTTTGCCGTTGGCCACAAAGCTGCGCAGTTTGTTGAGATCCTCGAGAGATGCCAGCGACTGAGGCGGCGTCAACGACTGGAAGTCGTGGTGCAGGACGATCGGCAACGTGATCTTGGTGCGGCCTCAAAAACGGGGTGCATCGGACGCAGCAAAGAGCTGTGGCTGGTCCTGGTACCCGAGGTCTTCGTTGTTGCCGTCCGCGAGCTTGCGCTCTCATCGTCCTTGCGTCGCTCCGTGGTCCCAGCGCCCCATGCATTGGGCTGCCTCGGCAGAAAGCCCGCCAACCGCGCTGATTGGTGGAAATGATTGTAAATGTAATCGAATTCCTTTTGCATTGTATTTCATACCAACACCAAGTGAAACGACATGGAATAAAATCTTGTAAAATATTGCCATTTGGAGCTAGAATGATGGTCGAGGTGCATTTCGGAAACTGGCGGATGAGGCGACACGGCGTGGACCGGCGAGCGCTGGCTGCGACGCTCTGTAGCCGCGAGGTCCATGGCGCGCCGGGCCGGCGCCAGCTCGAGGGCGATGTGACGCAGCTCATGCTGGCGGCGTTGCAGTGTCCCCGCGACAACGTGTTTTTCTGCCAGCAGGACGACGACCTCCAGCCCGTGCCACCGTTCCACATAGCGTTCAGCCAAGAAAAGATGGATGGCACGCTCCTCGCTGTCGCCGACGAAGAAGGCTGCTTGAGCTTCTATGCGACGCACGACCGGAAGGCGCTCTCGACACACCACCAGGCACACGAACACGGTACTACCGGCATGCGCGCCTATGCTGTGCTCATGCCACGTCGTACGACATGTAGCGCCGCCCCTAGCGCGCATCGCCGCGCACGAGAACGCGATCTTTGACATGATCTGGTGCAATCGCGATGCGTACATTGCGACCGCGTCCGGCGACCAGCAGATTGGCATTTGGGACGTCGAGACCGGCGCCCACGTCTACCACATGGCCGGCCACACGATGAGCGTCAAGTGCATTCGCCAGCACCCGCTGCACCCGAGCGTCTTTGCGTCCGGCTCGCGCGACGGCAACGTCTTCCTCTGGGACATTCGCCTCCCGCCGCCGCCGCCGATCGTCCCCGGCCCGATCGTGCGCCGCACGGTGCGACCCTTCACGGGCTGTGCGCGCTGCCACGACTATGAGGTGCCGTCGACCGACAAGCGCAAGAAGCGCCGCGTCTCGGTGGCCAACGCGCAGCGCAGCGTCACGTGTATTGAGTTTACAGGCGACGGCCACCAGATGATCTCGGCCGGCGCCGTCGACGGGTACGACCAGACGACATCCCGTCTTCTTCCTCTCCTACTACTCCTGCTCTGTAGCCAAGTCAAGTTTTGGGACATCCGACACCTCTTTCCGCCGTCCACATCGACGCCGCCCAAGATACCCCATCACGTGCGGTCGCTCGCCTGCCACGCGCCCAGTGGTCGGCGCTACGGGATCTCGTCGCTCTCGCTCGACCACACGAAGACCAAGCTGCTCGTGAGCGCTGCCAGCAACGACATCCTCCTCTACGACCTCCTCTCGCACGGGGACTCGCCGATCGCCAAGTACCATGGCCACCGCAACAGCTCGTTTTACGGTATTCCATCGAATCGAATCTGCGTCCTTGACCAAGCTCGTCTAGTCAAGTCGACGTTTAGCCCGACGTCGCAGTTCATTGTGAGCGGGTCCGTGGACCAGCGCGTGTACCTCTGGGACGTGGCCAAGCCCGGGCTGCCCGTGCGCGTGCTTCACGGCCACGAAGGCGAAGTAAGCAGTGTCGCGTGGTGCAAGACGGATGCGACCAAGCTCGCGTCGTGCTCGGACGACGGCACCGTGCGGATTTGGACCATGCCGCCTCATGCGCGTCGGCCCGAGGCGACGCCATGTGGCCGGGGGTGGCGCTGTCGGCTTTTCGGCCGCGTACGAAGCACCCAGCACAATCGTGGCGGCCGACGACACGGCCTCGGACGAGATGGCGCCCTCGCCTGTCGTCGCGCCGCCCGTGCCACGGCAGCCATTGACGCTGCATCACTTTTGGCGATGAACACAATAGACTTGCCGTATCTACAACGCCCGCGCCTGTCTTGCGCCGACAGGAGCACACAGCGAGGCCAAGCATGGCATGCATTGCATATTGATTGATTCATCGTCGACTCACGGGTAGTATGCACCAGACATGGAAGGCACGGACCGTTTACTGGAGCGCCAGCAGGCTGTCGTCGACGATGCGCGACGGCGTCGCGTCCTTGATCTGGGACGCCTTGGGCATGATCGGGTACGACGCGTCGGTCGCGATGCCGCACTGGTTGTTCTTGTTGCGCGACATGAGGATGTAGCCATGCATGCCCCACCCCTGCCCCACGAGTTCTTGACGAGCCAAAAGTCCTTGCCCTTGTAGTTGCCGTAGCCAGCGACGGCGACGCCATGGTCGAGCTCATCGTCCTTATTCTTGCAAAGCGGCCACGAAAAGACGCCGTGCCGGTACAGCTGGAACATGAAGCTCGACGCGTCAATGGCGACCGAGATGACACCCGAGCTCGAGGCCGCCGACTTGAGCGCGTCCTCGTCACCCGACGTGACGTTGGCGTACGCCGTAAAGTGGCCGATCGCTTGGTCGTCCTTGGCGAGGCACACGCCCTTGGACTGCATCGTGTACGGGTACACCGACTCGGGGTCGATCTTGCCGCCATGGTTCTCGATGATCTCGGTGAAGCCGTGGCTCATTTCACCACCGCGGTTGCACGTAGCGGTACCGCCATCGCAGCAGTCGACGAGCTCCTGCTCTGAGAACGACTCGAGCTTGCCCGTGGCAAGTGCATAGACGCTCTCCATGGCCGCGACGGCCGAGAAGGCCCAGCACGACCCGCACATGCCCTGGTTCTTGACGGGCGTAACAACGTTGTGCTCGCGCCAGTCCCAAGCCTCGGGCGAGAACTCGTCCGCCGTGTGCGTAAATGCGGCTTGGCCGCGCTTGTTCGTGCGCTTGTACCCAAGACGGCTCTTGTACTCTTCGTCCGTCAAATCGGCCAGCTCTACAACACGCCAGTATAAGGCCATCGTCCATCGCCGCTGCGTTCGCCCATACCGTTCAAGCCCAGCGTGAACGTGACCTCGCCAGCATCGTAGCGCTCGTTGTGCTCCTCAATGCGGCGGAGGTTGGTGCGGAAGGCCTTGAAGCGCTTGGCGAGGAGCGGGTGGTCGTCGCCATGGACCCGGTACGGCTTCTCATACTCGGCCATGTACTGCACGAAGGCCGTCATGTCCTTGACGGCGGCCATCTCATGGAGGTCGGGCGAGCTGCCACGGACGCTCGTCCACGCGGCCGCCACGAGCGCCGAGGCAAGGAACGCGACTGTCTTCATTTTGCTCAAATCTTCAACTGACCTGCGCGAAGATCCCCAGGCCGGCGTGGGATCTTTTTCTCTGGACGCCGTGGGATTGGCGAAAATGCAGCTGACAGTACGTGCCATTGGCCCAACGCTTGGATAAGCGTACGTTTTTAGCCAATGAAAACGGTCTTGTCGCCACCCCACATTCCTTCTCTGTGACCTCATCCGGTTGAAGACCAGATAATTGCTGAGACTAGCCAATCAACGTGTCCTAATTTAAAATACTGCTATGTGATTGGGCATTGTGTGCACGCCATATCTTGGGTGTTCATCTACGATCCAGATTCGTGGCACGTGCCACAGTACAGAGAAGGCAGGAGCTCGAGAGAGCCTTGCGTGCTGCTGCATATTAATGTCGAGAAGCTCGAAGGCTAGGATGGTGCTTTCTTGCCCGGTTGAGCCGAAGGGATTGCGAGCGGCTACATTCTAGTCGTACTTTAACGAGCCCATACGACATAATAGCATACATAGCAATCGCACCTAAGCAATATATATGCCTATATACTACTAAACCGTACCTAATTTAGAAATACGTACTTGAGAGAGTAGAAAGGCTCTGTCGTGGCCACTTTGCGGCCATGCTTCTCGGACGCACTTGGAGAGTAGTCGCGCAGTCGGCAAGTCGCAAGCCACTGCAAATCGCCTCGCGTAGCATGTCGTCCGAAGCAGACAAGGCCCGCGCGGCCGCCGAGCCCAAGCCGAACGAGCTCACGATCTTCGACAAGATCATCAACAAGGAGATCCCGGCCAACATCATCTTTGAAAATGACAAGGTCCTCGCCTTCCGCGACATTAGCCCGCAAGCGCCGACGCACGTCCTCGTCATCCCCAAGGTCCGCGCTGGCCTCACGCGCCTCATCCGCGCCGAAGAGAGCCACAAGGAAATCCTCGGCGAGCTGCTCTACACGGCGTCGGTCGTCGCCCGCAACGAGAACCTCGAAGACGGCTACCGCATCGTCATCAACGACGGCAAGAACGGATGCCAGTCGGTGTACCACTTGCACTTGCACATTATCGGCGGCCGCCCGCTCGGCTGGCCCCCGGGGTAAGCCATTTCGTACGTGGCGCACGCTCGACGCTCTATTCGGCCATGTAGCATGGCTCTGGCCGCCTTGTAGACCCGTATGCGCCGCCTCCGCCAACGAATCTGGGCTACTAGTATCAACGTATTGCTTTCCCATATGCATGCTAGTCTTGCTTGTCCGTACTCGCAGTTGAAAAGCCATCGCCGGGCCAGCGCATTAAAGAGCCCCGACGCCACCAGTGGTTGCTCCTTCGAGCGCCTCCGAGCGTGCTGGTATACCTCTTGGCGTGCATGACCGAGAGCAATGCCTGCTAACGTTACATGACCGAGGGCTCGGGCTTTCAATGCGCACGTGCAGTCCGCGTCGTCGGTCCAAATCTACCATGCCTGCCTGTACAAATGTACTGTTTAAAAAAATGACAAGCAAGGCGACACGCGTGGCCACAGCACAGGCGCACGAACGCGGGTGCGTTGCGCCTGCAAGAGACGACCGGACTGGGCGGTGTCCTCTACAGCGCCATGTTCCTCACTCGCCAACGTCAATGCGCCAACGTCGTCGACGCTACCGGCAAGATGGCGACGTCGATTATTGGCCCGCGAACAACCGGTCGGCCGTTTTTTGGTTCAGCGCGCGTGTCGCACGCCAATTTGCATTTTGCACACAAAACCATGGTGGTCGTCCTCCGCGACGAGTGCTCGCTCGTCCTCGCGTGGCTCCTCGAAGGCCTCTGCCTGCTTCCCGCGCTCGCGCTGACGTCGGCCGAGAACGCGGTCGTCGTCTTTGGCATCTTTGCGCTCGCGTCCGGCGCCGGGCTCCTCCTCAGCTTCTCGTCGACGTGCCGCCACCGGCGCGCGTGCCAGTTTCTCCACGCAGGCTACATTGCTTGGATCTTCTACACGCTGCAGCTGCTCTTCATTACGGTCGTCGGCATGAGCATCTACAACTTCCTGCTGCCGTTTGACGCGGGCGCCGAGTTTCGCTTCTACTGCGCCGAGCTCCACCTGGACAAGAACCTCTCGGGCACGTCGTGCGCGCAGCTTCAAAGCCGCCTCGCGCAGGCACTCGTCATCTTGACGCTCGACGCGTGCGTCGGCGTGCTCATGCTCGTGCTCGGCCAGCGCATCGCGCAGAAGCAGCACATCGAGTACACGCGCGTTCAGAAGGAGATCGAGAAGGCCAACCAGTCGCCGAGCCAGAACACCTTGTTGGGCCACCACGTGTAATAGTAGCCGTGCTGCCTTCAATAGACTCATTTTTTGCGCCAACATCTCGACAAACTACAGGAAACACCCTTCTCTCAACCACTCTGGGCCTGCGATGCGCATGGACAAGCACGGGAAGAACGGTGGCTATAGTATCATGGTACGGGCGTGGCGCAGAGTCGAAGGACGCGGGCGGACGCGGAGGGTCGAGAGGCAACGCACGACGAGACGTGTCTTCTATTGTCGAGTTGCTTGGCTACAAAAGATCAAAACAAAAAGCGCTTCACGCGCGGTAGCGGCGGATAATACGGGCCACGCGGGGCGTGACCATGAGCGTGACGGCGAAGCGCAGCGGCTCGGTAAACTTGGTCGCGACCCAAGCGATCAAGAACGCACTCGTCTTCGAGTTGACTTCGGGGATGTCCAGGTACTGACCGAGGCCAATCGCGTTGGTCCAGTCCATCATGCGGTTCGTCGCCGTGAGAATGTTGAGCGACGACTCGCCGTCGTCATGCGAGGCCTCATCGCCCTCCTTGCGCGGAACTTCCTTCTTCGTCGAGAGCACGCCCGTTTCGATGGCCGCGTACATGGAGCCCAGGACGATGCCATAGATCGTCAAGTACGTGCCCACGGCCACAAGGCCGTACTGCTTCCAGAGGTCCTTGAAGCGGCCAAAGCTGGTCGGCTTGGCGACAGCGCTGGGCTTGATGGTGCTACCGCTACTGCAGAAGCGGAGAATAGGGTTCGCAAAGTGCGTTGGCCGCGCCAAGGCCATGGGCACTGCGGCCTTCCAAGCATGCAGCGGCCGTGCGTGGGCGGCGCTGGCGCGGGCCACGCGGGGCGCAAGTCGCGTCACAAACATGGGCAGAATATTGGACTGGACGAAAACCACAAAACGAACGCTGATGATGTCGAAAAAGGCGACCAATCATCGACGTCCAAGTCAGCAATATGCACCAATCACACGCGTTTCTTTTGTATCTTGAACTAGTGTTAGCGAATCTTGCATTGCTGGCATCGCCATGACCTTTGTTCACACACGCTTGCCGATCGTACATATGTGCGCGCTTCAACCTACCGCCACACACGTCGCTTGTAGATGTGGCGGTGTATTCTCAAAGAGAACAGTATACCATTGCGTGCAGACACGCAGAGAAAGTTCAATGTACACTATACAAGTTTAACACTATTTTAAACAGGCATCTAGAAACGCCTGCCAGGATGAGCCAGCATGAGCCAGCTTGGCGACGCGTGCATGGGATGCCCAAAGCCGCCGAGACGGTCGAGGAGCGCTGGGTTGGACGTTTGAGTCAGCTAGAATCACGCAAATGGATTGTGCTGGATTCTTTCGAGCGAGTATCTTGTCTTCAACTGAGACCGAGAGGGTTGCATGTGCAGCGACCAAGCAGCTCCACCTGAGCCTGTGCCCAAGATATGCTGGTTCCGTAGCACGGAGGGCATAAATGCACTTGGTAACGCTTTAATGACGTAGAACGCCCTGAACTTTTCTGCATACGACGCGAAATCGGGGCCGGCTTTACCGAGCGCGACAGCGTCGGGCCATGGACGACACAAACGGGCCGCTGTCAACGGCCACGTACAGCGCAGTGCTGGGCGATACTTCAATGGCCAAATAAAATGAACCCACCATGAGTGGTGGTGACAGAGCAAGCTGCGCTTGATCTATTGCTCGCGACAAGCCTGTTACACCCACGGTGCGCATGTACCCACGGCGCTCTTCTCGCCGGCCAAGCTAACGTCAAGGTACTATAGTATGTAGTATGTAGTGCATGCACCTAAAGGCCTTGTCGGCACAGGTTGCTGACCGGTACGCGTTGGGATTGCCTATGAAATGGGTGCGCCATACAAGGTGCTGGCGCTGACGTGTAGCGAGCAGGTGCGAGCGCTGGACCATATGGGTTTCTAAAATCGGTGGCCAACGCCAGAGGTAGGGAAAACCGAGTGGCGAGAAGACTCGAGGAAATGCAAGGCGCTCGATTAACGGGAGGTTAATGACGCTCGTTGTCTGAGTACATGTAGTGTGCGCGATCATGCTGCACGCAGAGTTCTTGTTTGTGTTGTGGGGGCGTGCGAGTCAATACGAGATGACGTCGCCGCTGTAAAACATGGTGCGTTGCGGTATATCGCGCGGGCTCGAGACGCGGCGCGCATGGGCGCGGCGCTTGCGCTCGTTGATGGCGCGCGGGTCAAACTTGGGGACGCAGATCAGATAGACGTCGCCGTCCACGTCCGAATCGGTCTCGGAGGCGTCGCCATCGTCGTCGGGTTGGAGACTGCGCAGTATCTTGGCCGTCGCCTTGCAGTCGCTGGTACAGTAGACGCGGTTGTCAAAGGACATGTAGGACGCAGCGCAGTGTGGGCAGCGCGAGAGGCGGCGGCTAAACGAGGCGCGAAGAGGATCCGTGGAGACAGCCATTGCGGGTCTTAGCTGTCGAGCATGCTCGAAAGTTGGAAAATGACCGTCAAATTATTTCTGTATTTTTCTTTTTCAGAGGATTTGCATGTCCACATCCCCTCTCCCACACTCGACCCGCGAGGGCCAACAGCCGGACACGCAAATAGTGTAACTTTCGACGCCCGTGCGCAGGTCTGGCCTGTCGGCGCGGCTTCCGCTGCGTCCTCTAGGATAGCATGTACATTCGCTTGCAGAGGCCTCTGCGTAGGCTGCAGGCGGCGCGGCAAAAGTCCTTAAAAGAACGCGTTGCGAATATGATGCGACAAAAGCTGGTCGAAGAAACAGCACGCGGCCGAGCACGCGCGACGCGCGCGGCTGTCACCAAGTCTGCTCGCAGTAAAGAGTAGCAGCCAGTGAGTAGCAGCCACGGACCGAGACCACGACGCTGTGAGTAGGGTCCCAGCCCACTATTTGCGTCCTGCACACTATTGTGGGAACATGCAGCGACGGCTCCCGGAACGCGGATATTCCAGCGGTCGCCGGTTGACATTGAAATTTCGATCCGATCCAACCTTGGGATGCGGCCGTGAGCTACTCCTGCGTAGTAGTTGCAGTACGGCGGTCCCACGCGGGCTGGTGTCTACGGCGCGTACTCGCGCGTGGCTACCGGGAAGGTCATCTCGACGATGCCCTCGATGCCGGCCGTCACGACCTACGCAGCGCTGCTTCATGGCATGTACATCGAGATACCCGTACGTTGCCCGGCTCGACGGGGCCGACGCCTTCCGGTGTGCCCGTGATGATCATGTCGCCTTCTTCGAGCGTCATGATGCGGCTAGTAGCAGCGACGTATTGGCCGATGTTGACACCGCCATGCGCACCTGATGTGGGACAGAAGGAACGGAATCTTGTGCACCATTTCGCCCGTATTGACGCGCTGGCGCTCGACGCCGTCGACCTTGAGCCAGATCTCCACATCGTGGGGCGATGGAATCGACGACGTCGGGACAAAATCGCTGATCGGCAAGAAGGTGTCGAAGCACTTGGCCGGCGTCCACGGCAGACCGCCCGCTTTGGCCTTGCTCTACGCAAGCAATGGGATGGATCGATCGATGGTCGATACGCCTGGAAGCGTGGTACCTGCAGGTCGCGCGCCGTCATGTCGATCGCAACGACGTAGCCCGCGACGTGCTTTTCCCAGTCCTCTTCGCGAATGTCCTTGCCACCCTTGCCAATCACGACACCGAGTTCGACTTCGTGGTGCACCGACCCAATGTGCGCCGGTAGCTGGATCGACTCGCCAGCGCGGGCGTAGCACGTCGTCGGTTTGAGGAAGATCACGGGCTCCTTGGGCGCATGCGTCGCGCCCATTTCGCGGGCGTGGGCCTCGTAGTTCTTGCCAATGCCCACAATCTTCTTGCTAGAGATGCCACGTCATCATCTCGTCGTTGCCTCGTCGATAGGTACCCGACGCGGATCAGCGTGTTGCCGAGGAACTTGGCCATCGCTCGTTTTCAGAAATGGCCTTCTGTTCGACGACCTTCCTGCATGATGTTACACAGTCAGCGTCTATGTGCACGCAACTATAGGCAATAAAATGTCGAAAATGATACCGATAGGAGCTTGATTTATGTGTGTTCTAGCCTTTATCACGTGGTCTAGAGGTGCATATTATAACACCCGCCGGAATCTATCCGGATACCACGGCATCTCAGAGAATCCCAAAATATCCAGATTGCACATTTGGCGCCACGGTGCCAACGTCGCCGCCGCATGACAACGATGACGCAAGGTGACCATCTGCACGAGAACCAGCGCCAACCGCTTCGGTCGTCTGCGTCCTGCATCCTCCTGCGCGAAGTCGACGCGCCAAAGAACAAAAGAAGCCTCGCGTCGCGCCGTCGCCCTTTCTGGGCCTCGACATGAAGCTCGTCGGCTTGTGTCAGTCCAACGACGCACTGCGCCGGCGCGTCGCGCACCTCTTTATGACGCACGGTGAGTACGCCGACTCGGACGCGGGCGACGACGACGGCCTCGAGCTCGTGCCCGGCCACGCCACGGTCATCAGACCCAACGAAAACGAGATCCTCGCCTTGCTCCACAAGCAGGGTCGCGGTGCAGGTGGCGCCACGCAGCACCCGAGCATTCAACGCGCCAAGAGCGACGTGATGCTACCGATCGCGATCGACGATGACGTGGCGAAAGCGGTGCAGCACGACATGATCATGACGATCCCATCGGTGCGTTTTGATTGCCACTTTGGCTCATAGCTTAGTATCAGGTGGCGTGGACGGCCAAATTTGAAGATGCTTACATGCGCTTTAAGCGCGGGCGCCCAAAAGCCAAGCTCAACTCAGTCCAGGTCTTTCGTTCGTACTTGATGACGCCCGAGTTCCGCGCGCTGCATGCATTAACGTACGGTGCGACGCGCTTTCACGAAGACACGACAGGCACGTTTGGGAACGACGAGAGCGACCATCCGCTTCACCACGGGCTCCAAAAACGGTCCGACGCTCCCTCCCCTTGGATGCACTGAACTATCATTATCGAACTAGACTTTCAAAGCTAACGCCGCCGATGCGGTCGTCCTTGGAGCTATCGCTCTCGAACCACATGCTCGACAATTTCGACCACCTTCTCGACATGTACACGTCGGCGCGACGCGACTTTCTTGCGCAAATGACGCAGTGCGGAAAGCGACAGCGCCACGCGGCGCGACAGCTCAAAGAGGCCAAGCAGCACCTCGAGTCGCGCCGCGCCGACGTCAAGAAGGAAGTCGCCAAGACGCGCGCGATGCTCGGTCACCGTGTCATCGCCGCACGTCTCCATACGCCGCGGGACCCCGCGCACATTGAGGGCAGTGACAAGCACGCTGTGACCATGATTGTGTCCGCCTCCAAGCGCGCGGCAGCCAAGTCGTGGAAAAAATCAAGGAAGCGGAACAGTGCAATGTCGCTCGGAGTCTCCAGCTCTCGATCGAGTACGCCAAGACAACGACGATCGAAGGCGGCGGTCTTCCGACGCGCGCGCTCTGCCTCAAGTACGACGCACGCACCTTTTTTATGGACTGTGTATGCACGATGGAGGTAGGCAGCAACGCGCGCTCACGCACCATATCGTGTACATCCAGCGCCTGTACCGCGGGCACATGGCGCGCCGCTACGTCTACTCGCTCAAGTGGCTCTTCTTCATGTGGCGCCACCTCTTTTTCCCGTCCACAGTGCTCCCAAGAGACTCGGTGTACGGCTTCATGCACATTGACGACTTTGAAGCGAGCTTCGAGTACTTTTACTACCAGTCGTACGGCACACACTACGAAATGAGATGTGGTGCTAGTACTATAATGGCCATGGCTAGGAACGCCGAGCGCGTCTATATGGCTGGTTTTGCACTCACCGTGCCGCCGTCCCGCCTCGGCGGACAGTTTGTCGAGTACCATCGTTTCAAGCGGTAGCATCGATATACCATCGTGACTATTCCAGCGTGGACGCGGTCGTAGGTACTGGCTGCGCTTCATGTACCGTGCGTCCGGGCCCGCCGACATGGTGCGCTTTGTGCAGTTTGTGCGCAACCGCGAAGCCATCATCCACTCGATTGAGATCCAGGTAGGCTGCCACGTCATCACATTGCACCGTACGTTTACATCGGTGCCGCATTAGAGGCAAGAGCACAGCGAGGCGCGCGCGTCAACGCTGAGCTACCTGACGCAGATTGACGACTTTAAGAAACTCAACTACACCAAGCGCCGCGACG